AATACATCTAAATTTTCAGTCAAGTAATGAATTAATGCACAAGTTAATGAAACAATTATATTTTATTTACTGAAAACAGGAAACATGAATACATGAGTAAAAGAATAAATACAGAGGGGCCAATCTTATATTGTGTATTTGTTCAGGCATTTCATTATTGAATTTAGTGATGTCAAGGTCCAGCTCGGTTCAGTTTAAATAGTGTCTGTGCAGTCAAGTCGACGATATCTCTGGAAATTAAGTGTCCTCGAATTGTGAAGAATGTTTGTCCATACTGTATATAATAAAAGTCAATGGTGATCAAAATAGAGCTTGATTTGTTTTCCACTGCCTTACATTACAGTGGACAAAAGCATTTTCTTTTCTTTTTTTTTTGTTTCATGGAAGAAAGTAAATCATGAAGGTTAGGAATAACATGAGGAAGAGTAAATGATGACAGAAACTAAATATGTGTGAAAGGTTTAAAGCACTAAGTTTCTAAACGAAACGTTAAATTTGACATTGGTCACATTATTGAAACTACAAAACGTGCTATTAATGATTATTAACAAGGTTTATAAAACACAAGCTACACATACAAAATATCTTAATAATCTCTAGATATTAGTCAAATAATCCATAAGAAACAGGTGCATACCCATACTGTACATGTGGTGAACGAAGTTCGAGGTCATGCTCGGGTTGCAAATTGTGCATACCCCAAAATTTGTTCGTAGATTCTCTCTACCCCTATATTGTTCTGTGTTTGCACAGCGTCATGCAGCCGCATAGATCTGACCAGAGGCCTCTGTGGCTTGCATTTTGTATAGGCTATTGTCGCAAATATTTTAAATTTTGTTTTTTTTTGTTTAATAATAATTCTTATAAAGTCATATCGAGTCAAGCGATATTTAATTTAGATTTAATTTAGAGTTCTCAAATCAAAGTCAAGTTATTAGAAATCTTTAAATTCGCAAGTGCAGTCTGTCACGTAACGTTAACTCAAGACCACTTCAGTATCGACCGAAAAAAAGAAATCTCAAAGCAGGAAAACCCTGATTGTGTTAATTATTTATTATGTATTACATTCAGCCACAGAGCATTCTGATTATTATCTTGGTCTAGGAACTAACATCAAACCTGGTCTGTCCTAACACTGAAAGACGGTACCAAAATCTAGCGCTGCAACAACTCGCTAATTGAAAAATAATAATAAGGAATATAAAATAGATCAACTTACCATGTGCTTTTTTCATTGGAAAACAGCAGCTCCAGTTGTTCAGATCATCGCGGAATTCAAATGCTAGCCAAAAGATATGATTTGAATTTTTGACTGACAGACACGTTGAAGGGTGGGTGCACACTGGGGGGCCAATCAGTTTTCAGGGGGGGCAAGTGCCCCCATGGCCCCTCCCCTGTCTACGCCACTGCCACCGTGTCCACCTTCACCTGTCTCTGCTATCCATCATGACCATCACTGCTGCACTCAGACTGAATCTGATCATGGATGGGAAAGGGACATCGAGGCTATCGTTGCCTGAGTGCACAGAGAGGATGAGGAAGACTATGATGACGCCCCTGAACCACACAATCTTGAACATGTGCAGGACAATCTGACTTCCTCTGTCTGCTCCAAACATTTGTGTGCTGCTCTCCATGAGCACGACTACCTGTAAAATTTTACAATTCATGTTGTCAGCATTTCATTTCATATGTTTACAATTACATGCTAATTTTTGTCATAGCTTCATTACTTTTGTGGTTTAGTGGGCTAAAGCACTGAGCTGGTGTGTCCTAGAGCAAGGCTCTTTACTCCAGGTTGCTGCAGGGGGATTGAGGTCCTTGTAATAAGAGCACTGTAAGTCATTTCAGATAAAAGTGTCTGCCAAATGCAGAAATGTAAATGTGATTTTTGTAAATCCTTTTCTGTGTCTTGGGCACAAACGCTCAATAAAGCTGCTTATTTCGTCAAGGTACTACTATATAAATGCATACATATTTCATACAATTTCTATTTGGGGGGTTTAAAGGGTTAGTTCACCCAAACATATAAATTCAGTCATTATTTACTCAGCTGCACACTGTTCAATCCTTGTTTTTTTTCTGAACACAAAAGGTGATTTTGGTTAAGTTTTTTCTGCTGGTTTCTGTTCATACAATATCAGTTAATGGTGCCTGACTTTCAGAAGCTTCATGACTTTATTTGATGATGCTTTTGAAGCTTCTGAAACTCAGGCTCCATTGAGTGATGTTGTATGAACAGAAATCAGCAGAACCAACTTGACCAAAATCACATCCTCAATGTCTTTTGGTCTTTCTCTAGATGTTCTCGCTGGCTCTGGGGTCACTGATGATGAAGAGACCACAGCAACATCCAGTCCAGATGAGGCAGTAAGAGGTGAAGTGATGGACCTTGCAGGTCCTGCTCCACCACAAAAGATCTGCAGCAAATGCACAGAAATCAAGAATCAGAAAAGTGCTGTAATAACTCTGTTTGAAATTACAATAATTAAAATAAACTAGAATTAAAATATGTTTTATTCTTTTCTGTAGTATACTCACTGAGAGCCTTTGATGGCGGCATTCCTTCTTCAAGTCACTCTGCACTAGATAAACACACGTGTGTCTCAAGATTCAAGTCACCTCTGTGATTTATCTGCTCAATACTGCATTTACATGTTATGTTAACTCGCTTTTTATTTAACACAAGTGCTCCACAATTTATCAACAATACTAATGGACAAATAAAATAGATAACTTATGTTTAGTTACTCTATGTAGATTTGTTTATTTACATTACTTACATTCATCTAGAGCAGTGTTGACAACAGTGAATTCTACATATTCAGCTCATACATCACTCACTCAGAGTTTCATGTTGTGATGTGCTCATCTGCAATTCTTTTAGAACATTTTCCTGTCAGATATTAAATAGACATTTAGTAATCGTCTTTAAGATGTATATGGTTTATGTAAACTCACTTTGGAGATGTGCGTGTGCTTACTGGAGCTCCCCTGTTCGCTACTCATAATAAAACGTGTTTTTACAGTAAAATCACAAATATACTATTTAACGTCTTTACACCTTATGCAAATCATCAGTTTACTCTACAATAGTTCAACAAAAGCGATTTTAACACAGGGAACCGTGTTTTTGGTTTGTATTACTCACATTTGTAAACGCCCTCGTCGCTGTTCTCCTTCACGTTCGATGATGACGTATCCTCTTGCGTGGGCTTCTGGGATTGAAAATTACCCATCGATGAACACTTCAGAATCTGGGCTGAAGCAGTAGGACATCCGGGGATTTCTCGCCTACTCTTTTATGAATACTGAGGTTTCTGACATACTACTTTCTTCACATACTCTTTTCTCCTACTAAATAGCAGGTAAGTAGGCATATTCGGACGCACTTTAAGGCTGTTTCTCAATATGCGTTCTTGTCTGTACTTGTGTTCTTGTGGACTTGTGAAACGTCATCAGTCGTCGCCCAAGTACTGTTCCAATTCAAAGTTCACATCTAGCCAAGTACACTTCAAATCCCTGGATGTGTTCTTGCTCTGCCCGTTTTATCAAGGATGCATCCAGAGGTGACTTGTGCGAACTTGAGGCAGCCAGGTATCCCAGAATGCATTTCACACCAACCAGCGAGCGTTAATGGCGGAGGAGAAAACCTGCATAATTTTTAAAATATTACTGTTATCGTGTCATGAAATGCAGTTCTAAGAGTATTTCAGGCAAGAATGTAGTTGTTTAAAACTCAAACCTGCAGTTTATTTATAAAAATAGCGCCTATTTGAAAATGCTTCAACGATTTCGGAGACGTGAGCTCCACGCGATCACCGGGCGCTCAGTGCTCATGTATCCACCGAGAGCAGTTTCACCTCGGTTAGTCCTTCTGACATTTGCCGCTGGCTCTGATGTCTCTGGTAATGGTTAAACATGAGGTAAAATTTGTTTTGGGTAAATCTGACAGGCAATCTTTGGTCTCATGAATCTATTATTTCTTCCAGGTTATATCGTTTTGGCTGAGCACAAAGTTATGTTTAATAAATTATTTATTTATTAATCGTAATACAACGCTGACTTTGTTGCATACATTTGACCAAATTGTTTGCTTTTGTCTTTATTTCCTATTACATAAGTCTCTTATACTTTATACTTATTCTTTTATAAGGGCTATTTTTGTTCATTAAAACTGACATTTAACAAAAAAGGCAGAGTTGTGCTTGTCATATTTAATTTTATTATACATTCAGTGAAGATAATCAGAGAATATGTGCACATATTACCTAAACCACATATTAATATGTTTTATATTTTTAAAATGAAAACGAAATGATGGTTGTGTTTTATATTTTGAAGAAAATGACAAGGCAGTGGTGTTTGATATTTCGTTTTATTGTAATGCATGTACGCATTGCATGAACCACATTTTTGTGAGCCTATCAATATTTTAAATGAAACAGAAAAAAGGCAATGATGTTTGATATAATATTTCGTTTCACTGTAATGTATGTACATTCCCTGAACTACATTTTTGTGGCTATTAATATGTTTAAATGAAAACGAAAAGAGGCAGTGGTGTTTGATATCATATTTTGTCGTATTGTATACATACAGTGAAGATAACCGGAGTAGCCAAGGCGAGCTGACTGACGTTATCAAGTACGCTGCTGTTCCATTTGCAGAATTACCGGACTTGCGTCCTCCCATCCTCGGGAGTTCGCACTCCCGAGTCGAACTTGCGAAGTCCGAACTACCAAGGACGCAAGTCTGAACTTTGCATACTTGGCATTGAGAAACGGCCCATGTAGACGCATGTCCGAATCTCGCGAGAATTAGTACGTTACCCAGGTAATTCTTGCCTACTCTTTTATGAATACTAAGGATTCAGACATACTTATTCGCTTGCCTACTGCTTTCCCCCTACTATATAGTAGAGAAGTATGCCATTTCGGACGCAGCCACAGTATTTCTTTGATGTCTGTGCACTGACGCGGAAGCGTTCAGCCCTCGTGTTCAGCCTCCTCGCGTGAAGACCGACGAGTGTAAAGACCTGCGAATTTACCGAGCAACGAAACCGGCAACACACTTAAGTATTATTTTTATCTTCCCTTTACACACTCTCCTTTTCTGTCCTCTCTTTTCCACCTCTATCATGTGTTTCCAAAACATTCCGGTTGTCTCTCAACAACGCACTAACATCACATGCAGACGGCAAAGCAATCTTGCTAACCTGCATCCTATCGCTACATCTTCTACTGCACCTCTTTCTTTATCTGTGGGTCTCTGGAATTGTCAGTCAGCTGTCAATAAAGCAGACTTCATTTCTGCTTTTCTTTACAATCCACACTCAGCATCTTGGACTTGACTGAGACCTGGATTCGTCCAAAAGACTCAGCAACCCCAGCTGCTCTATCTAACAATTTCTCTTTCTCTCACCCCCCATCAGGTTGGCCGGGGTGGGGGCACTGGTCTGCTCATTTCAAACAACTGGAAATACTCAGCCCACTCCCCTCTATGCAATTATAACTCATTTGAATCTCATGTGATTACTGTAACAAGCTCCTATAAAACTCCAGGTTGTGGTAATTTACTGCCCTCCTGGGCAAATTCTAGGCACCTTCCTAGAAGAGCTGGATGGGCTGCTGTTCTCATTCCCGGAGGATGGCAGTCCACTTTTAGTCTTTGGTGACTTCAACATTCATCTGGACAAGCCTTATGCTACAGACTTCCATTCACTCCTTGCTTCATTTGATCTCAAACGACTTACCACTACAAGCAGGCACAAATCAGGCAACCAACTTGACTTAATTTACACACGCAATTGTATTGCAGACAACATTTTGGTAGAACCCCTACATATCTCTGACCATTTCTTCATTACATTTAAACTACATTTTGCTGCCTGTGTGCCACCAACCCATATACCAGTTACTTTTAGACTAAACATACGCTCCCTTTCACCCTCCCATCTTTCCTCTGTAGTATCCTCCTCTCTTCCCTCACCAACCCATTTCTCATCTCTGGATGTGAATGCAGCAAACCGACACTTTATGCTCTACTTTAACCTCTTGTCTAGAC